TGATCAGGATTTTAGAGATGCTTAACTCATTCGGATTACACGTCGTGTGTGTAATGATATTGAACTTGAATTATTAGTTACTTTAGTAAATATTCTATAAAAATATTCTATTATTACATATTTTTTAAAGACCAGTCATTTTGACTGATTTTGGTAGAAACAGCTTTGTCTTAACTGTCGGTAGTTCTAGTGTTCAACTCACATGATTCGAAATAATTCGCATAAACTAGACTTCTTATTGCTTCTTACGAAAGCTCAAAAATAGCGGAAGACTATTATTTTTTCAGAGATTGAAACTCATCATTGTTGCAACGATGCACGTTGATGATTGCTTTGAATTAAAACGATATCGCACGTTGGAAACAAATAATCGACGTATTATTTCGCGTTTAAATACCATTTAAATGATTCGTGTGAAATAACGATGTTATAAATTGCTGGCAGATGATGCAAAAAAAAAAAGTTCGTCGACGGCAAAGAGTTGAGAAATTACTTTTATTATCAATGAACTGATCGAAGTGTTTGTTTGTTCAGGTATCAATTCACCGTGATTGCCACGGACTCTGGCGAGGTACCGAAATCCGCGAGCGCCACGGTGATACTGACCGTGACCGACGTGAACGACAACGATCCCTACTTCGATCCTAAGAACTACGAGGCTGTGGTCTCCGAGGACGATCCGCCGGGCACTCCGGTCACCTCTGTCACGGCGACCGATGCGGACGAGGACGCCAGGATACATTACGAAATCACGGCTGGTAACACGAGAGGCCGATTCTCGATCGCGTCTCAGAACGGACGCGGTCTGATAACGGTGGCTCAACCGCTCGACTACAAGCAGGAAAAGAGATTCGTTCTCACTGTCACGGCATCGGACAGTGGCGGTAGAACGGATACGGCTCTCGTCTACGTGAACGTCTCGGACGCTAATAATTTCGAGCCGGTGTTCGAGAACACGCCTTACGCCGTGTCGTTGTTCGAGGATGCGCCGATTGGCACGACAGTTCTGGTTGTCAGCGCGACTGACTCAGACGTTGGGAAGAATGCTCAGATCACGTACAGTTTAGGCACCGACGGCGGCGAGTCGGCATCCGAGTTCACTATAAATCCGCAAACCGGGGCCATCACGACCACTCGCACGTTGGATCGTGAACAGGTGCCTGGTTACTTTTTGACTGTTACCGCGAGAGACGGGGGCGTGCCGCCATTGTCGGACACCATCAACGTGGAGATATCCGTCACGGACGTGAACGACAATGCTCCGGTTTTCGAAGCACCTCAGTACCAAGGATCCATCCCGGAGGACGTGGCAGGTGGTACCAGCGTTCTCAGAGTTTCCGCCACCGACGCCGACACGGACCTGAACGGGAGAGTGAGGTACGCTCTGGAAGACGACGGAGACGGCGCGTTTGCCGTCGACTCGACGACAGGCGTGATCAGAACAGCCAAACCGTTGGACAGAGAATCGGTCGCGACGTACACTTTGAAAGCTGTTGCGATGGACAGAGGATCTCCCTCGCTGTCGACGGTGGTGCCGGTGACGATCAAAATACAGGACGTGAATGACTCGCCACCGGCTTTCGAGAACGACAAGATCGTCCTTTACATAGCTGAGAATTCACCGATCGGCTCGACCGTCGGTGAAATTTACGCGCACGACCCGGACGAGGGACCGAACGCGGTTGTGCAGTATTCCGTGATAGGAGGGGAAGATTCGAACAGTTTCGCTTTGAATGTCAGATCGGGCGCGGACCGAGCGGAATTGATCACCCTCGAGGAGTTGGACTACGAGTCGCCGAAGAAGAAGTTCGAGCTGGTGGTGCGTGCCGCCTCGCCTCCTCTGAGATCGGACGCTCTGGTTCAGATACTGGTGACCGACGTGAACGACAACGCGCCAGTGTTGAAGGACTTTCAGATCATATTCAACAATTTCAAGGACTTCTTCCCGACCGCCCCTATAGGCAAAATACCAGCCGTCGACGCGGACGTCACGGATAAATTAACGTACATCGTGCTCGCCGGCAACAACGCGAATTTGATCGACTTGAACAGAACCAGCGGTGAGATCCGACTGTCGCCGCAACTCAACACAAACGTGCCGCGTGTTGCGACGATGGAGGTGTCCGTCACGGACGGTATCAACGAGGTCAAGGCCACGATGACTCTCTCGGTGCGCTTGATCACCGATAAAATGCTCCTCAACTCCATTACCGTTAGATTGGACGACATGACGGCCGAGGCTTTCCTCAGCCCTCTGTTAGGATATTTTCTGGATGGCTTGGCAGCCATTATCCCCTGCC